ACTGAATTTGGTTATTAAGTCTAGAAGACTTTTGGTGGAATTCTTGGGGTCTTCTATATAGAACATCATGTCATCTGCAAATAATGACAATTTGACTTCTTCCTTTCCTATCTTTATTCCTTTTATTTCTTTCCCTTGTCTAATTGCCGTGGCTAATGTGTCCAAAGCTATATTGAACAGGAGTGGGGATTGTGGACATCCTGGTCTTGTTTGGACTCTTTACTCTTAATCAGGGTTACCATCCCTGGGCCAGGCTCTTGGCTCCAAGCTTGACTTGTGTAAGAACTGCCTTTTACTTCTTTGCAGCCTCCTTGGCAGCCGGCACATATTGGTGCATAGTAAACATGCCGTTAAAAAAAATAAAATGGAATGAGAGAGAGATTAGGAACCAGATAGGAGACGAGAAGAAGGGATAGGCAGCTAAACTGGCAGAGCTCAGAGGGCCAGGAGGACCCTCGGCTGGCCAGAACCCCGCAGCCACCGCCCGGCCAGCCCTCTTCTGAGAAGAGGAGAGAACGGTGGCACCGGGCTCACACCTGGATTCCACAGGAACGGCCTGTCCCAGCCTCCACGCTGCCGCCAGCCTGGACCCAGCACGGCTGGACTTTCCCACCCTCCGGCTTGCTGTGTGGTTGGTGACTCAGAACTGTTCCTGTTGTCCAAGGTATCATTTGCAAAGTGCTTTCTTGGAAGAGAAAATGTTTGGGACAGCTGGAAGGGAGCTCCAGGGGCTGGAGCCACAAGGAGCCTTGTTGTGTGCTGTGAGAACACAGGGTTCTTATTTCTCTCTCTCTTCCCCTTGGCTGTGTTTATTTAAAGCTCCCACCATCACCGGGGGAGGTGGTACCCGGAACTTGAGGCAGAGCTCCCAGAACCACCAGGGAGCAGGCCCAGCACTTACTGCGGGGACCACAGTAGCCATGGGCATAGGCCCGGGGCCAGGAATCAGGGAGTCGGGCCAGGGCTGAGGGAGGCACTGGGCAAGAGTTCTTCTTGTGTCTTTGGCCATCCTATAATTACTGTGTTTGCTGTTATGATTTCTGCCCTCCATTGCCATTTCTCTTGGTAAATCTGTTCCCACTCATGCCTTCTACAGAGAGACCTTTAAAATTCTATATATGACACATACATGGCATGATTGAAATATATGGTGAATGTTTCCATTTTTTAAAATGTGTTACAGTAAAAGACACGTTGTCATGAATCCCCCTCAAAACCCTCCCCCTCACTTCAAACAAACTTATCCCATTGTTCTTACCACTTTCTGAAGCAGTTCTGGAGTCCTCTTTCATGGATGTCTTGAGTTGTGTTGTTATAGCTGCCTTGATGTCCTGAGTTGATTCAGAATGTTTACCTTGCATTGTCATCCTGCTTCGGGGAAGAGCCAGAAGTCACACGGTGCCGGGCCTGGAGAATAATGTGGATGAGGATACGGTGTCGTGTTTTTACGAGCCTGCCTTTCTGGATCACACTCAGCAGCAGCAGCCACTGTATTTTTGGTAAAACCTCTTAAAGACACAAAAGAGGACTCCAGAACTGCTCCAGAAAGTGGCAAGAATGATGGAAAAGTGAGTTCACAGCAAGGGGGAATATTTTGAGGGCAATTAATGGCATTGTGCCTTTTATTGTAGTAAATTTTGTATTTAAACATTAGACAGAGTTTTGATCATATATATATTTGCCAGGCGGCTGGGTTGACTTCTCCCCGCACCTTGCATAGGAGAGACGCTGTCAGGGCTGTCTCCCTGGGGAGCTCAGGTAGGGGCGGCTGAAGGGAGGCGAGAAGGCTCATCCATCGGCAAAACAGAACCCATGTGAGCCGCTGCTCCCCACCGTGCCCCTTCTGTCCGGCGAGCACCCTGAGTGGAATTCCCACTTCCGACAGCCTACAGTCACGGAAGGAGAAGGGGCAGCGGGGCCCAGGGTGACCTCGCCTCTCAGGACATAGAGCAGAAAACACCGTCCCTGACTCACAGGAAGCAGCGGGGTTACTCCTTCCCTGCCAGAGTCCACACGCAAATCACGGCGAGTATTTAGAAAATCATCACCTGCTCTCCTTCTGGGGCATCGCTGTTTGCTAGCAGCAAGTGAGGGGTGCTTTTATTTTAACCTTTTTTCTTTCTCTCTCTCTCTGGTTCCCCCAAGAGAAGCTCCATAGGCAAGCAGGATTGAAGCTTTTCAGAGCCAGGAAAATTGTCTTAATAATCACCACAGTGCACTTTCCAGACGAGGGAGAGAAGGAAACTTCCGTTTAGATCACTAACTCTGATAAGGTTTCACAGGTTCTGCCTCCGCTGTTCCCGGTCAATTTGAAACAAAATTCTAATTTTCAAGTTTTTACTCTGCCAGTCACTAGTTAGATGTTGGGTATTTAAGATAATTATTTGGCATTGGTAAGCTTACTTCCATTTTTATCTATTAAGACTAACGATGCAATGAACAGATCCTCGCATATAGTTTCTTTAGGTTAAATTCTTTCTTTGGAATAAAGTCATCGGATTGCTAACGCTGAATCAAGCTGTAGAAACAATGCTGTGGCTCCCAGTTTTACACACCGCTTTCTGAAGGAGTTGCGCCAACGCAGGATGACCAGCAGAGTAGCAGTTACTAGTTTTTCTATACGGTCACCAGTTGGTGTTAAATGGCATCTCAAGTCCAGTCCACTACGTTATAACCCTGACTTATGTCTGATAGGAACAGAATTCCCATTCTAAGTGATCTTTTTGCTCAATGTTGTCTTGTCATAGGCGCCATTATTTTTTCAAATGAATATTTTGGAAAAATTTCAATGATTTCCAGGACAAGAATCCTGTGGTCATTTTTATTAGAGGTGTGTATTTATGAATGTCAATGATAAATCCACTGATTAGCTAGAAAAAAAGGCATCTTGAAAGATGCAGAGTTACCATTCAAAAGCAGCATCATTGATTCCATCGATCTGTTCCCCCATGTCCCTTGCCCTGCCCAGTGCCCAGTGCCCGGTGCTTGCAGTGCATTATGGGGAAAGTCATGTGCCACAGACAGGTCTGACCTCTAACCCTGCCCCTGGCAGCCTCACACTGTCCTCTTCCCTCTTCACTCCAGACAGGGCCAGAGGGTTTGAGGTTCCTGATTCCCTAGTCACCGTGGAGCAGGCCAGCCTGCCAACACCTGGCTGGAAAATCAAACGAGGGGGAAATACAATGGTGCTGTGTTTACTCACTGGGATTTGGGGGGGGATTTGGGGATTCGGTGTTACAGACTCCTCCCTTCCAAGTCCATAACTGAAATTTAACTCCCTGGTCATCTGTAGCCCATTCATCAGGATACAGATGGTTCCTGACTTAAAATGGTTCCACTTAAGATTTTTCGACCCCACATGTTGGTGAGGACATGATATCCAATCAGTAGGAACCATACTTTGACTTTTAAATCTTGATCTTTTCCTAGGCTACCAATACTCATTACAGGCCTCTCAGGATGCTGGGCAGCATCAGCGAGCCAGAGGGGAAACAAGTCAGCATCCGTGGTCAGCTGCATTGCTAAGCTGGGAGTAGGAGAGGTTAGGAGTATTTGATTTGTTTTTTCCTTTTCTTTTCAGTGGTACAGGGGATTGGACCCAGGGCCTTTGCTCTGAGCTCAGTCCTTTCGCTTTTCTTTCTTTCTTTTTCTTATTTTTGAGACAAAGTCTTCCTAAGTTGCTAAATCACCCAAGCAGGGCTTGAACTTGTGACCCTCCTGTCGCAGACTCCCAGAGTGCACCTGCTCTTCTGGCATCAAAGTATTTTGAGCTTACAATATTTCCAACAAGCGATGGGCTTCTCTGGAAGTAACTCAGCATAAGTCAGGAGCATCCATCAGTACTTGATTTCTTTAGGCTAGAAGCGTTATTTAATTGTCACTACAATTCAAAATAGAAAATCTATGGGCAGGTAATAATCCAGGAACGATAAGATTAATGAGGTTGTTACTTGAGCACCTTGACAGGTCTCCAACTCAAGGTCCACTCTGCTGCAGCTGCTTTCTAGCTAGCTTAGTTTCTACAGCTCCTGTGACACAGAGCCACAGGCAAGGTGGCCTTGACAGCAGAAATTCATTTCCTTACAGTTCTGGTGCAGAGGCTGAGACTGAGGGCCCAGGTGGGCGGGTTTCTTGTGAGGCCTCACTCCTGGGCTTCTGAAAGGCCCTCCTCTCCCTTCATCTCCACGTGCCTCCCTTGGCCGTGCCCAGGTCTCTTGGTCTTAGCGGGACACCAGCCACTCCGCTGAAGGCCTCGCTGTGATACTGGATTTTAACTCAGTGACCTCTCTGGCGCATGCTTGTAATCCCAGTGCTCTGGGGTTGAAGCAGAAAGATCGCCATGAGTTAGAGGCCAGCCTGAAGTGCATAGCAAGACTCTGTCTCCAAAACATGACCTCTTTAAAGGCTCTTTCTCCAAATGTACTCACATTCAGAGGTACTGGGGGGATTAGAACTTCAGACTGAATTTGGAAAGAGAACTGTCCATTCCATGGCAGCTCCTAACTTACCAACCCCTTCTACCCGGCCACCCTCACAGAGTGCTCACACTAGCCAGCCGGGCTGTGCTCCTCTGTCCTCTGCCCACTGTGCTTCAAGGGACCTGGCCCTGCCTGGCTGTTTCCCAAAATAATGAAAGATTGAAATACACACACATTTTGCAATCGTGTTCCACACTGCAAACGGTGCATTGCTGGGCACAGAGTTTGACCATGGAATGCAGCCACGGAGAAGGTGAACTGGCAACCTTGTTAGCAGGATTTGCTAGGGACTCACAGTGAAAAGGCAACCTGTAGCATAATAACCAGGCCAGGTCAGACTTTTCTGCTTAGCCCACTTATGGAGAAATCCCAACCATATCCCCGTTTACTAGAAATAACCGATACCTAAATTAAATAACCCAGAGTGCATGAACTGTATCAGTAATGAGCATGCATAGCAATGAAAGAACCACAAGCACTTAATTATCACCAAAACCCCAAAGAAAAGCATCCAAAGACGATGTGAACAAAGAGGTAGCCATCACTCGGAATTTGGAACAGGTTTCTAAATCGAAAAGGGCAGTAACTCATGTTACTTATCATTTAAAAATAACTAGGATTTAAGAAATGAAATTAGACAAGTGATTAATGCATCACTTTCAGCCAGAGCTCCTTTGATAGTTGGAAGAAAATAAAAGCCAGCCAAGAAATAAACATTTCAGATTCAGGTGCTCTGCAATCTGTGCTCCAAATGTTTTCCCTGAGCAAGCTTGTGACGAGGTGGCTCCACGCACACGGCAGACAGATCGCTGGCGGAGTCCTTGCCTTCAAAATATGAGCGTCGCACACGAGAGGAGAAGCCACAGACTCACAGTCAGAGTCCACTGGAGAGAAACGCTCAGGGTCAGAAAAAGGACAGAGACAGGCAGATGCAGGGCCTGCAAGAGAGGGTCTGCCAGCTGCTGTTAAGAGACACTTGAGGCTTTTCCTGCTAGTTCCACTTACCCTGGGAATCAAGGATGGGGAAGTCTTCTGTGTTGAAATTGAAAAAGGGTCACAACAGAGTAAGAAGCCAGTGTGGGTGACAGGACCATCTACCTAGAGGAAGAGAGAAGTGCTTGGTGCGTCAGGGTCCACACTCTCGGAGCCAGGCTGCCTGGATCCACGTCCCAGCTCTGCTTCTTCCTAGCTGTGAACCTGAGCACTCCAGCTCCGGGTGCCTCTGTCTTTCTATCTATACGATGAAAGAAACCTAAGTATACTAACCTCACAGGGTTGTTATGGGGATTACATTAACATATGTAAAGCAAGAAGAAGGGAGAGTCACAGAATTGCACTGTGTTGTAGAAGTATAACTGCTCTAATTATAGTATGGTTATTTTGTAAAACAAGCCAAAAAACAGAAAAGATTTGTAATAGTAATGTATACATTGTGTATTCTTTTTTGTTTTGTTTTTTTGTTTGGTACTGGGGATCGAACTCAGGTCCTTGCGCTTGCGCAGCAGGCGGTGAAACCACTGAGCTAAATCCCCGGCCCTGTAATAGTAATGTATACATTCCAGGCCGGGGTAAGGTGGGAGAAATGAAGGAGACCAGCAGAATTCATTTCAGTTGCCAAACAGAAGACAAGAGATGCCAAACAATAATTCAGTGATCACTGTAGATAATGTTTCAATGCAGTGATACAAAATCAAAGTAATGCAAAAATTGTCCCTGTTGAACAAAAGATCAGAAATTTAAATAAAGACAAGATCAAGCCAGGCAAGGTGGTGCATATCTGTCATCCCAGTGCCCCGGGAGGCTGAAGCAAGAGAATCACCAGTCTGAGCCCAGCCTGGGTAACTTAGCAACTCAGGAAGACCCTGTCTCAAAATAAAGAATTTGTAAAAAGAATTGAGTATGTAGCTCAGTGCAAAGGCCCTAGGTTCAATCCCCAGTATCACCAAAATAAATAAATAAATAAATAAAACAAACTGAAGACAAAATCGGTATTATTGACTTTTTCCTTTTACTCCAGGCTGCAGTATGGCTTGGCATGCAGTAAGTTCAATGATACCATGGTAAAATAGTTGGTAGTTTATATTCCAAGCTTTTTTCTGGAGTGAGAAGTTACATAGGATTTCATTCTCAGTTTTACATTTCTATATCTTTTTAACTTTTTTACCATGAGATTATAAATAAAATTCATGAGGATTTATAAAGTCCAATTTCTTAATAAAATCTTGAAAGAAAAACACAAGATGACCCTGAATATCTAGTCAATCACCTGATAGAAAAGAGAGAGGCCACTCTGCCCACAAAGAACCCAATGCCAAAGCACCTTCCTGCATAGTGGAGTTGTTGCTTCATTCTTTAAACCTACAAGAAAAAAAGAAAGAAGAAATTGTGAATAAAATCCACTGAGGCTCAGTGACACAGCTCTGTCTAACCAGGGTCTCCAGAGCTGAGTGAGGGCCTTCAATTGTCCTATTTCTAAAGGAACCTCAAGTCTTTGGCCAGCAGTCTTGCCCCAGCATGGTAAGCCCCTGTGTTCATCAGCTTTCCATCACTGTGACAAAATGCCTGAGGAAAGCAATTTAAAGAGTAAAGGTTTATTTGGGCTCAGTGGTTTCCATGGTCTCAGTGGTTTCCATGGTCTCTGGGACCCTTGCTTTGGGCCTGAGGCAAAGGTGAACTTCATGGCAGAGAACGGAACATGGTGGCCCAAAGGAGAGAGGGAAGAGGGGAGAGGAGGTGGGGGAATGAGAGGGGAAGGAGGGGGGAGGAGGAAGAGGAAGAGAGAGAGAGAGAGAGAGAGAGGAGGGGGAGGAGCTTCCTCCTCCTGCTTTTGTTCCATGGAGGTCCCCAGCCAATTGGATGGTGCCACTTGAGTCCAGGGCAGGATTCCCCACTCAGTTGGCTGTCACACATGCCAATCATCTCTGGAACCTCCCTATAGGCCACCCATAAGCATGCTTTACTGATTTCCCAGGGTTTTCTCAATCTAATCAAAATTAATCATCACAACCGAAGCCTGGTAACTGGGGGGGTCTTTCCGAGCCCTTCTGTGAACTTCTGGGTGAAACTCAGGTGAACATGGGGCTCCAAATCCAACACCAAATCCAACCATGCCCCACCTGCTTTACCTTGAAATTGTCCTTTTACCTCCCTGCTTCCGGATCTGCAAAGGAGAATAATAATACTGGGCTCACTTCCTAGGCTGCCTTTGAAGATCAAGTTAGAACACAAAAGGCACTCAGCAGTGGGCCTGTAAGAATCCCAGTTTCCTTCCACTCTTCATAGGTCAAAGCCTTCAACCATTTCCAGTCAAAGAGCCAGAGAAGCAGTCACATACCAGTACTGCAAGGCGAGTGATTAAAAAAAACTATTGTAATCTCACTTTGGAGGAAGTATATGGCTTCCTATGAGCAGCAGATTTCCCCTCCTAGTGACATTCCTTGGAATAAATGTTAAAATTCTTTGGCATTTGATAAACACAGCTGTTGACCCACAAAGGTGACCCAGGAGCCCACTGGTAATAGAAAGTGGGCTATGGTTAATAATTTGCTGGGTTTAATCCCTATGGTAGATCGATAGAATATAGATATAATTGACAGTAACTTTTTTTCCCTTTTGGACTATTTCAAATAAAGAGAAGGCACAACATCTTCCTAACACAGATTAACCTTCAAGAAAACTTCATAGATCAAAATAACACCAGTAAAAATGGAGCTAGGACCAAGGATCATGAAACTTCATGGTAGGGCTGGGGATTTGGCTCAGTGGTTCCATCTCCTGCCTCACAAGCGCACAAGGTCCTGGTCTGATCCCTGGTACCAAAAAAAAAAAGAAAGAAACTTTATGGTAGTCCCCCGCCTCCAAAGACCATCAATATACTGCAACACACCAAAAACAGAGTCCAACCCTAAACCAGTAACTCTCCCCATATACATGCTCCTCATTTCTCTTCAATTTTCTTCTTACTCCTTTTTTAGGATTTTTAAAAAAATTTTAATTATAGTTAGAAAGATTTCCATCAAAAACTTAGAGGCAAAAATTAAAATGATCAATAATCCCTGCTATCTAGGTAGCCTCTGCTGACACTTGAAAAATAAATGCAAAGTAATGCTTCCACATGACTAGGATACTGAACACAGAAAGGTGTAAAAGTCAATGAGGTGTTTACCCTTCACCACACTCCAAGCTCATTGTCCCTCCTTTCTAAACCTCAAAAGTCAGTCTTTAAAAGTTCTTTGGAGAGCCTTGCAGACAACATTTCAGTGTCAATACTAGCCTTTATGTGTCTTCTTAAATTACACGAAAACGACAACACTGATGGCAGAGTGAGCCAATCTTCCTTTTTCATCTGTGTTGTGGACTGATTGAGTCCCTCCTAAAATTCTTATCTCATACCCCTAATGCCCAGGGCCTCCAAAGGTGCCTGTACTTGGCAATAAGACCTCTAAACTGACAGTTATGGCCTGCCAAAGTTGATGAAAATCTACAAGCTTGCTATAGCTAGTTCCAGTAAGCATGTGGGGAAATGTCATTTCTCTGTACTCTTCATGAGAGCGGAAGCTCTGAAGCAGTGTGTGATCCAGTCTGACTGGTGTGTTTACTAGCAGAGGAGATCGGGTAACAGAGACCTCTGCAGTGTACATGGTGGGAGGGATGATGCAAAGAGGCAGCCAGCACAGCACACGCCTGGCCTGTAATTCCAGCACCCTGGAAGCCTGCAGCAGAAGGACCAAAAGTTTGAGCCCAGCCTGAGCAGTTTAGCAATTTAAAGAGACCCTGCCTCAAAATTTTTAAAAAATGTTTTAATGTAAAGAAAGGGTTGAGGATATAGCTCTGTGCAAAGGTCCTGGATTTAACCTCTGGTAGCACACACAAACACACACACACACTTACAATACAGGCAGCAGGAAGGTGACCACCTGCAACCCAAGAAGCCAGGACTCAGAGGAACCTGGTCCTACTTGCACCTTGATCTTGAACTTCCAGCCTCCAGCACTGTGACATAACAAATTTCTGTTAAGATCCTCTATCCATGGTGTTTTGTTACACAGCCCTAGCTAACTGATACAACCTATGAGTATACATTTGTGGCATATCCTATCAGTGTTCGGGAACCCGCCTCATATTGTATTGCAAGTTGTCACATGATTTTTATCTCTGCCTTATCAACTGACATTTACACTGACTCCAAGTTTTCAATGAATTCAAACAATATTGTGGTAAATCTCTATATATTGATATCTTGCATAATTATTTAAGCATGTCTATAGAGTGAATTCCCAGAAATAACATTGCTGACCCAAAGTACAAATGCATCCATACTGAATTTTGATAGTGTTGAATTGCCCTTGAAGTTTCTACTTTTTCTGGACATGGTGACACATACCTGTACTATCAGCACTCGGAAGGCTGAGGCAGCAGGATTTCCATGAGTTTGAGGCCATGTGGGCTACATAATGAGTTCAAGGCCAGCCTGGAATACATACAAGAACATTTTCAAAAAAACACACCAAAAAAAGGTGTCTATTTTCACCAAAGGCACTTAAAAGTGACATTTTCCTCACATGCTTGCCAGTACTATATATATGGAACCTTTTAATTTTATTGGTCCAATGTTACCAGTGTATTGTTCTAGTTTGTACCTATGAATAAGTCTTAGCATGTCAGAGAATTTTCAGGGCATTAGGTCAGGGGCCTCACCATGTGTCAGTGGTGTTATCACAGGCAAGTTGCCTCATTTCTCTGTGCAGTAGGCTCCTTTTCTATCAAATAGAGTAGCCTTGGAAACTACCTCCATGCAAAGTTCTTAGATAAAGTCCATGAATGAGTAGGTGTCAAGGCTTAGAACAATGCTTGGAATATAGTAATCCCCAAATTTATGCCAGTTGTTATTACTGTGTTAATAAAAATACAAGGACTGTATACCATTTGTATTTCTGTCTTTGTAGAAGTTCTGGGTTATGGATACTTATGTCCCTGACTGAAATTTACACTATTGAAGCCCTAAGCTGCAATGTGGCTGTATTTGCAGATGGCAAGTAATTACTATCAACTGAGGTCAGAACATCTGGCCCTGTCCAATAAGAAGAGACATCACTTACAGTGTTCTTCTATGAAGAAATCTCACTGGGTGTAGTGGCACACACCCATAACCAGCATTCTGGAGGCTGAGGTGGGAGGATCACCGTGGGTTTGAGGCCAGCCTGGGCTACAGAGTAAGTTCAGAGTCAACTTGGGCTCCATAGTGAGTTCAAGATCAGCCTGAGCTACATAGTGAGACCGATTTTAAAAAATAAAAATAAAAATAACAAAGTAGAGACATCACTCTCATCAGAGAGACATAGCCCTCTCCCCCCTCTCTCTGTCTCTCTGTCTATTTCTGTCTCTGTCTCTGTCTCTGTCTCTCTCTCTGTTCACGTAAAGTCTGTGAGCATACAATCAGATGGTGACTGCCTGCAAAGCAAGACAAGCAGGCTCCCAGTGGAACCTGTCCCACCAGCACCTCGACCCTGGCCTTCCAGCCTCCAGGCTGTGGGAAATGAAGTTCAGTTTGAGCTGCTTCATCTGTGCTGTTTTGCTACAGTAGCCTTACCATCCTATGCATCCTGTTTACATCTTTTACTCAGACTTCTGTGCAGTTAGTCCAGGTCTCACTGTGTGAGTTCCCGCATCTGATGATACACTGTGAGGATGGCTGGGCTCCTCGAAGGGCCCCAGTAGGGAAGCCGGGGCATGGGCCACTGGCTTCTACCCCGCTCTCCCTCTGCAAGGGCCTGGCCACAAGGATGTCAGGTGCAGCCACTGGAGACAGAAACGTGAATCGAGCAGCACGCGGGGTCACAGGTTGAGCCTTAAATAGTCTAGATTTAAGAAAGTATGTGTAATTCTAGTCCTCGACAGCAGCACAGTTACAGAATTCCACATTCTCCTCCAAAGACTCAACACAAGCACGGGGCACCTCTCCTTGACTTGGGACTGTTTTTACACATCTCTCTCTGTTAAGGAAAAACTCAGAGGGTATCAGTAACTTGCTACTTTTGTTCATTCTCACGTCAAGCCCTTGGTACTGAAACATGCTTTTTCAAATTTTAAATCCAAAAATTGTAATTTAATGCAGAGCAATTATAAGTAACAGATGCTGACAGGTTTGCACTTTTTGCTTCCACCAGAAATATATGCACACACTGGTTCCAAATTTTTGAAGACGATATCCAAATAAAGTTAGGGGCTAAGAAATGAGAGATTGCTAATTTAAAATCCATGCCTATAAGCTTTAGAACTTGAATCTATGGAAAAATTGAGAAGCCAGACCCACGAGAAGTGCACCCTATTTGGTAGATGACCCCATTCGATTGGTGCACTGGTCCAAACACAAAGCAACAGAGTGTGACGGTAAAGCGTGACCCTAAGAATCACGGTATCATAACTGGTTCAAAACCCAGGCCTACAGCTTAATTAGCTATGTGACCTTTGCCAAAGTAATTTACCCACTAGGCCCCATTTTTCCAGGTACAGAGTAAGAACACTGCTACCTACCTTACTGAGTGTGAGAATTATGTAAGCTAAGGTCTAGAAAATGCTCAGCTCATGCCAACCCATACTATGAGCTCTGCCCATGATTACATGGATTGCTTGGTGTCCACCCCACTCTCGTCCTTAGCCACCCCACATGGCTTGGGCTTCTCACATGGTGGTCCCCTCGGAGTCTCGCTTCCTCTGTGGCAACAGACCCCTTCGAGAGGCTGAAGGTGTCCATGTCACTTCTGCCATATTGTATTGGTCAAAAAACTAACACAACGCAGGAGTAAGCAGACCTCATCCTCTAGTGAGAGACTGTTCTAAAGGAGCATACAGCTGAGCACGGCACTACAGCCAGCGCTACAAAGCACAACCTGCCACAGTCTGGTGTTCTCATTGTTGATGGTGTCACTGCCCTTGAGAGGCTTTGCTTAGCCAGGGTAATGCACAAAACCCCTCAAACCACACTCCCCCTGCCATGGGTAGGTGGCTGGATGGCAGAGAGATGAAACGTGCCTCGATAGGGATCCTCCTGTGAGCCTCAGCCCTCCTGGCCACAGCCCTTCTCTAGCTGGTGAAGCTGCTCCATGTAAACTCCACAAAACTGCCTCTTGGTCAGCTTCTTGTTACTGTGACAAAATACCTGAGACAAGCACAAGATGAGGAGGAAGGGTTTATTTTGGCTCTCGGTTTCAGAGCTCCAGTCCTGGTCTCTGGCGCTGCGCTCTGGTCCTGCGGCAGCGCAGTACATCACGGCTGGAGCCTGTGGTACAGGGAGCTGCTCGCCTCCCGGCAGCCGGAATACGGAGAGAGGAGAGAAGGGTTAGGGCCCCGTATCCCCTCAAGGACATGGCCCTGATGACCTAACCTCCTTCCATGAGGCTCTGCCTCCTGGTGGCACCCCAGGCACCAACCAAGTCTTTAACCCCGTGGTCCTGGGGACAAGATTCAGACCCAAGTTATGCAGTGCCCTTCCTCCAGACAGATGCAGGGAAGAGGCTGCACGAGGGGCCTCCGGCCACCTGCCCCTAGCCTAACCCCACAGGGAGAGACTGCGTGGGTGGAGCAGGGGCAGCTCCCTGTCCCTGTCCACACGGTGACCCGCTGAGCCTCTGGGACAGAGCAGCAGCACCACTGGACCGGAAGGGAGGCCCACACAGGCAGCTGGAGTCCCCGCCCCAACACACCCCTGCCAGGTGACAGTGGCCAGGAAAGCAGGGCTGGTGGCAAGCAGCTAATCTCAAAAATTAAAAGTAGAAAGGAGCGGGTTACTTACAACTTACTGGGGTGAGGTGGCCAAAACATGCTGCCTGGGGCATTACCAAAGAACATAATTTTTCAGATGCACAGTTACTTCTTCAGAAACATGTGATTCATGAGGATGATTTTAAAGCAGGGGCCTTTGCAGCTGTAAATTAGCATTTGTGGGTGTTTGGCTTATCTCTTGGCTTATTAAATCAGACCTGTTTTCCCCTTTCCAAGCTATAGCTATCAGTTTGGGATTAAACACTGACAAGGTGTTTGCTCGGTCTTCGTAGCAGCTCAGAAAATGAACCAGTTGTAAATGGAAATTTTTAGAAGTTACGTGCCTTCCAAATTCCTTTCCAAATAAACAGAAAAATTAATTTTATACATATAAACTTTTTCTCCGTCCGAGGTACTAAGACCCTGAGTGACTGTCACCCAGAGCCTGGGTCCAAGTTGTCCCCCGCTGGGAGGCTCTGCCACCCCCACCAAGAAGTCAGACATGAAATGCTGCTCCCCGAACCCTGAGGAGCAGTTTGCACCTGGTGGAACAAAACCAGATTCCCCCAAGCTTTGTGGATTTGGAAATCTACCAGCTCACTTCACTCTACCCACCAGCACATCTGGGGATGTAAAATGTAAATATTTCACTTTACGGTTTATAAGGAGTATTTTATAGAGCAAAGAAATCAGCACACTCTTTCTACGCCACTGTAATGCCCCCCGCTCTAATGTCGTCCCAGACAAGGGACAAAGGGAAGCTCCAGCATCCAGGAGAGCTTTGGACGTCCCTCACACAAGACCCTGGAGAGAAGCGGGCCTGAGGGTGGGTTTGTGGAACTGCAAAGTAGGCTTGAGAGCTCTCCACCTCCTAACTATATGAACATCAGCTTCAGAAATGTGCACAGAATTTGGGGCAGGAGCCCCATACCTAAAAAGCACAGTTTAACTGATACAAAGCATGATCGGAACTTATGGTATGTGAGTGAATTTTAAAAGTATTATAGTGAAAGACACATTACCATCAATTCCCCTCAAAAGACCCCTTCACTTTCAAGACCCTCATCCCATCATCCGTGCCCCTTTCTGAAGCTGTCTGTATGAGGTGTGATCAAAAATACAGAGAATGCAGCCGCTGTCTGCCATGCAGCACAAAGGCAGCTCCTTAAAACATGACGCTGCATCCTCATCCACCTTATTCACCGGCTTTGCACCATGTGACTTCTGGCTCTTTCTCAAAGTCAAAATGACCACGAAAGGGAGACATTTTCAATCAATTCAGGACATCGAGGCAGCCACAACAGAGCAACTAAAAATACTCACAAAAGAGGACTCCAGAACTGCTTCAGAAAGTGGCAAGAATGATGCGATCAGTGTATCTGAAGCAAGGAGGGGAATTCATGGCAAAGGGTCCTTTATCATGATAATTTTTTTAAAAGTTTGAGCATTCACCATACTTGTCGATCATACTGCACAGGGCACAGCTGCAATTCACTACAGGCTGAGCTCTTTCCCGGCTTCATATCTCATCCTTTCTCACAGCAGCCACTGCCAGGTGGGCACCGAATCCTGGTATCAGTGACAGTAGGAAGTATTCATTCACTGCTCACTGGGTAGTGCCACTGCCTATCACCCATACAATCCTCCGAGGAGCCACGAGGGGAGCACCATTTCCGTCACCATTTGACAAGGGAACTGAGGCACAGAGATGATGCGACCTGCCCTCCCTCCCGGATAGTAACTGATGCGGTCAGACTCTGAAGCAAGCACTCAGCTCTCATGCTACCCACTTCACAGACGAGGAAACCAAGGAATGGAGGGAAGTCATGTGGCCTCGCTCTTTAACCTCGTGAGAGATCAGATGAGATTGGACACCAGATGTGCTGGCTCCAGAGCCCGAGCTTTGTGTTGCGGACGGATGGAGAAAGAGCGGTCTAAGGGGAGATGGGAGCTGCCTACACTCTGTGACTCCAAGAGCACTCGAAAACAGGTCCTTTCTGTGCTATGGGGAATCACTCCTTTGATGGGCAGCTTTGTGTCTTGCAGAAGCAAAATTCTCCACTGCACCAATAAATAATCCACAGCACAAGTGCTCTTACCAGGCTTTTCTACAGAGAAGAGGAGAAAACCAAAGCTTTCAGAGGAGAAACAGAAAGCAGACTCAGACCTACGGAACATCCAGAATGAGCCGAGCTATGTCCATCTCTGGGACTCATATCCGTCTAAACAGATTTAATGAGCTGGTGAGGCTGGGCTTCCAGCAGGATATTTGCATAAGGGGTGAGCAATCTCCTGGGAAAGCTCTCACCCTAAGGGAAAAGAGGTCAGCAGACAAGCTCGGCCCAGGGAGCAGATGTGGCTCTGAGTACAGCGCTGTGTTCCATCACGCACATTTGTCTCCGCTTTGCATCTGAGGTGGGCTGTGAGGGGAAATGAGGAACTGCCTCGTGTAAGTGCTGAGTGCTATCTGTGGAACAAGAGATGGTGTGGAATGAGAAGGTAGCCTCTCAGGGTGGCAGGATGGGTCCCTGAAGGCTGCAGCAAGGCAGGAGAGACCCCACTGGACAGCCAGCAAAAGTCACTCTTACAGGAGTTTACTCACGGCCAGCCCTTTAGGGTAGGCTGTGTGTCATGGGCCCTTGGGGTACAGAGCTGGGGTACAATTGAGAAGAGAAGGAAGAACCATCTGAAGGGAAATGGACAAGTAAAGATGGCTGTGCCCCAAGGCTCAAAGGTGAATTATTTAAAGGTAATCAGAAGTCACATCATGAGAGACCACACTAGGGAAAAGGTGTCCCTGTTTACAAATGGCTCCAGTCAATAGTGTGAGTCAGGCTGTGATAGATAATGGTGGCGTCAACTTGAATAAGAAACACTTAGCAGAAAAGAAACACTTAGAAGACTGGTCTAGAACAGCTCTGGGTGTGTCTGAATGACTGACTTACTGAACAGGGAAGGCCCACCCTGGATGTGGGTGGCACCGACCAATAGGCTTGTGGCCTGGATGGAATAAAAAGGGAAAGAAGAAGGAAGCCTGGCTTTTGCTACTTTGAAGGAGCTCCAGTCTTTGCCATCGCCTTTGGACGTCTGTCTCCAGGCTTCCACCAGCAAAGGATAAAAGGCTAGAACACATTGCATTTATGAGTCCGGAACTTGTTGAAAGGAAAATAATGTAAAATATACAGAATTCAGAAAGTCCCTGACCTAAATTATGGAACTCATCTATCTTCCTGTTAAAATGGCTAAATGCACACAAGTAGGAACATTTTTAAAGTTCCATGTAAGAAAAGAGGAGAGGGTGGGGAAAGCCAGGATTTATTTTCAAAACCTCTCTACTACATTTAAGTATATTCTTAGGAGACAGACACTGGGTGCCATCATCCCTCCTCTAAACTCTTGCTCACACCAGCACGTCACTGCTTCCTGTCACCACTTCGTGTGTTGGGGTAATCATTATGTATGTCTCCTTGAAGGATAAATTGTCAACCTCACCTACGATGTCCACCCTATGGGATTCCCAGGTGACTCACTCTACACTATCTAATCTATGGAAGGAGTTTGAGGACAAACTTGCTGGTTTATTTCCATAGCCGCCATCTTGATTGGCAGGAAGAAAGTCAAGCTGAGATAGGAAAGACAAGAATCGCTCCTTTGGGATCTGTTGTACAGTGCTGTAGTGATCCTTTCTCTCTGCGTTGATGGAAGGTCAGTGATGGACCCCCCAAGGCCAGAAGGAGGCAGCATGGCCTAAGCATCTCCAGCAGCAGACAGGCTCCCGGCTTCCTTCCGAAACGGCAAAATTTCCATTCAATTGATAAAGCTCATTGCCATTAGTCGGGGAAGATGGAAAGCTTTATTTAATGCCAATGGACCATTCTGCGTTCACATGCAGGAGACTGACCCCGTCCAACGCTTGAACAAAGAAGATATACATTCTAGGAGGGGGGTTACAAGTGAGGCATTTTTGGTATACATTCATTGGTTACAGAAATTGAATGGGCATTAGCAAGCGGGCTCAATCATGGTATTGACTCACACATAATACTGGCAACATGCTTATTGGGTCAGTTAAAATATGGGGTTTATATCTCATTTGCATTCCGGAGAAATGACAAAAACTCTTCTAGAGACAAAGACATTCCTGAGATGCGGAAGTTGGCTCAGGGATGTCCAGGCATGTGAGGCGGAACAGGCCCAGACATGTTGAACGAAGAAAAATTTCAAGTAGGGCATTTCATATAATAAGGCCAGCTTGAACTATGGAAGCAAAATTTCCTTGCAAAATTCCCTTTCACTTCTCCTGGTAGTGTTCATTGCCAAGCACTCCTGTCAGGAGAGGTGGGGAGGCTTCCTGTTAGTCCAGAGCCGCACTCCCTCCCACAGCTGCCCACTAGTTTGCCTTCTCACAGTAAGTCCCAGGCAGTAGCTGTCAAGTGTGAAAACTCAGCCATAAGAGATTCATCCTTTGCACAATTCAGCCAACAGAAGTGATTCCAAAGTCACATTTGAGAAGCAAGGAATAGAGATAAGCAGCGAGGAACACAATGAGAACAAGTGGCTGAATAAAAGGATGCTGCTCAGCGGGAGCACATGGCCTGGCTCGTTTTCTACCTGCCCACTGGAGGGCTGAATGTCCCCTCTCCCGGCTCTGTTACAGCCTCACCTCTGCCTGCACTTCGCCTCGCTGGCCATCTCATCCAGGCAAGGGCTCTGAAGGGCCTTGGTGTAGTCATGATTCCTGAGTTGACTCCTCAGCTCTGACCTCTCCCCGAGTTAGAGCGCTTGATCCAACTGCTCCCTGACATCTCCACTTGCGTGTCTTGCAGACAGCTCTAAGTTCAGACTTCCAAATGGAAGACTGCGACTCCCAGTTTGCTTCCCAAACTCTGTCCCTCCTCCATCTCAACAGAAGAAACCCTCATGCACCCAAAACCCTGGGTGTCATCCCGGATCCCCTCCTCCCCTCAGAGCTCCCCAGCCTTCCCATACACACGGCGCCTTCTCCATGTGTCACGAGCTGGCCGATCTGCATCCTTCTCTCCGGTTCCTCTCCTAATCCTGACTGCCGGTCCCCTTCCCAGGACTGGTACAAACGAGCTGAATGGGCCTCCCCACTCCCATCCTTGCCTTCCTGTGATCCATGCCCCTCTGAGCAGCCACAGTCATATTTTAAAGTGAAACCCAGATCTTCTCTCTTCTGTGTGAAAAATCCCGGTGGCTTCCCACTGCCCTCAGAATATCCAAGCTTCTCCCTCTGTCTCCCTCACGTAGGGCCCCGCACTGAAAAGCCACCAGCTTCTCCCAATCACATTCTCCCTTCCTCATCAGCTTTGGCCACCCTAGTCTCCTTTTCAAATCTCAACTCCTCGAGCTCTTTCCAGCTGGCACAGTTTTGTAGGTGGTGTCACTCCTGCCTGGAATACTGACACCGTCTCTCTCCAGCTCCTGAAGTAACGGGCTCTTTTGCAGCCTTCAGGTCTTCACATGAATATTTCCTCTCAAAGAGTCTTTCCTTGCTCACCCTGATCACAGTGGCATTCCAATTCACTGCTATCATCACGGCATTCCACTCGGTTCCTTCCCCGAACTTTATCAGTCTGATAGTTTGTATGGTGATTCCTTGGCTCATTATCTCTCTTCACCGGGATAATCTCACCCCACGAGGGCAGGGGCTGCACCTGTCTTCACAGCTCTGACCTTAGTGCCGAGAACAGTGCCTGGCATAGATACTCAAAAAGTAACTGTTCAATAAATACATAAGTTAATCTATAAATATTCTCAATAAGTATCTTTTTACTATTAAAATGAAATTAAGTACAAAAGAGAAATGCGTGTCACTCTGGAAACAGTAAACTTAACTTTTGAAGGCAGGAGGGGCACCAAACTTCCTATCTTGGGTTACCACATGCAACATAAACAATTCTCATCCACCAGATTCCATGAAAAGGAAACAAGATATAAACTGTGGTTACATAGTTGCCATCTCTGAGATGAACACAGCTCAATTCTGAGCTGGATACCAGTGGACTATTTGAGGAATTCAGTGTTGGTCAAGTTAGGAGAGAAGTGTATTCCTTTCCCATGGCTGCTGTAACAAATTGTCACAACCTGCAGCTTAAAGCAACATAAATGAACAAGCTCAAAGTTCTGGAAGCCAGGACTTGGAAAATGGGTCTGCACCCAAGGTGTCATCAGGCTGCCTTCTTTGGGGAGGTGGCCGGGGAGAATCTGTTTCCTGTCTTTTTAAGCTTCTCTGACGTTGACCCTCTTCCTCCCTCTCAGAGCCACCTGGGGCCCATGCAACCCAAGGCTATGCCCCATCTCAGGATCCCCAAGAACCTATGAAAAGTCTCTCAACACTCTCAAAAACAGCCCCGAGAACTTCGAAGAGCTGTTGTTGACTTGAATTCTATCTGCCAGTTTATTACCATATCAGAAATTTAACCTGGGAAACTTTTTAACAGTTTTTAAAATTTTAAACTAACAGTAATACAACCTATCACGTTAGATAAATAAGATATAGTTTATGAAAAAAAAGTTCTATTTTCTAAACCAAGAATAAATGATTGGCATTATTTTACATTTTTGCAGATCTCTTAAGTGTCTGGCTAAGTAACAGCTAGATTCTCATCTGCCTCTGCAGTTAATCTGTTGTGATATGACACTTCATACGCCCTGCAAACTCCCTGTAAACCTATCAGAGAATGAGGAGACCTGGCACACCCCAGAAATGGCCTCAGGGCCCCCACTGTAGAACCACTGTCTTGGCTCCTAAAATACCTGTAACTTGCTGTATGCACAGTGCTGTCTCCCTTGGAGCTTTCTCACCCTTAACTGCTAAACTTGTGCTTTCCCTTTAAGACTCCAATAGCATTTCTTCCAGAAAGTCTTTCCTGAGCCCTGCAGGTGGGTGAGATACTTCTCCGCTGGTCGCTGGGAATTCATTCTCTTCTCACCGGCTCTCTCTCTCTCTCTCTCTCTCTCTCTCTCTCTCTCTCTCCACTCCCATGGCCCTGTTACAGCCCACATGGGTGGCGCAGTGTTTATTGAACACAAAGCTATGAATCCCCTCTTGTGGCAACAACAGCATTTCGGGAGGGAGGGCTCAGGAACCCTGGATGAGGTGGGTGGCACCTGCTGCTGCGGACCCTGCCTCTTCCCCCAGGGCCCAGGCCCAAGCAAAGGCCTTTGCCGCTTTCGTGGGGCGTACATGCCCACCTTCGACGGTCCTGGAGAATGTGGTGAATGTGGGGGTTCTCTGGGCAGAGGAGGGGCCCACGGAGCCCTAGGAAGCTGGGTGCCTCCAGTCACGCTGGGCGCTCTGGTGCCTCTGCTCGTCACATGTGAGGCTCAGGGTTACGTCCCCACCTGGCTGACAGGAATGAGCACCAAAATACCTGAAAATCCAGTGACAAAGAGCATTTGAGAAGCAGTTGTCCGATGACACTGAGTACACCCGGTAAAGCAGACTATTCCGGACCACTGGGATAAACATAAGGACCACAGCGGTGAGATTCTGAACTGAGCAAGACTGGGCTCAACTCCAAAAACAGCATAGGCAAGTGGGGATTTTTAGCCAAGGCGCAGGGCAGGGTCCATGCATGGAAAATCACTAAGAGGAGACGCCCAGTTAAGGGGGAGTCGGGCTGAACCATCTGACCAGGATTCTTGCTGAAGGCAGAGTAGTGCAGTCAGTGTCACCTGGATATGGTAGCAGGTGAGGATCCTGATGGAATATTGACCGGCTATTACAGACAGCGGTTCCTGCTAAACTGACTCGGCAGGCTTCTTGCTGAAACTGGATTTCATAGGAAAGTGCACGGACGGGCTTAGGAAAAGGTTCCAGAGCCTGATTGCAGTTTGACCAAGGAAGGAAGCTTTGTCAAGAGTTACTGGGCCGGGAATTTAGCTCAGTGGTTCCACAGCCTGCCTCAAAAGCACAAGGACTCAAGTTCAATCCCCAAAACACAAGCAAACAAACAAAGAGTCACATGTTTATAGTTGCAATTTGCTTAAGATCTCAATACAATTTTCTAGACAATGTTAATGAACTTAACCAGCAGCCTTCTTCATCTGTCCTCATACAAATGCAGAAAAGACAGGTGGTGCCGTTGCTTTGATTCTGTGGCTCACATTTAGGGCCATGTCTATTGGGTTCAATGGCCTGGCCACTCTTCATCAAATGACACCTCAGCTCCTCAACCACATGCTTCAAAAGCTACAGTTAAGCTGTAAGAAATGGAAGACTTTGCCACATCAGTCCCAACACATACTAGAAACTTCATACCATCCTATCTGCCTACTTGTCTATGCAAACGCTGAACCGGATGCACGCAGTATGAATTACATCACAGGGAATGAAAGGCTTGACAGTGGAACAATGCCAGGTGTGGTGGCCTGAGAACACACTTTGCAAACGTCTAGCTAACTGACAAATCTGCTCTGAAATCTGGTGCCGAACCTGTGATGAGACCGCTCTTCCCATTGGCTGCTCCAGCAGCAGATACACAAAAGCCAACTTCTTTCTACAAGACATAGGGTTCTTCTTATGGACAACGGAGGTTCACAGACTGGATAACAGACCAACCAGGTCTTTCTTCAGATGCACTCAGGGCCAGACTCCAGTCATGGCCTGCCAATGGGTGACTGCCTCCAGCCAATCTGGTTCCTGTCCTATTTTCTCTAATATAAGTATTTCCCCTAAGAAAATCCTTGTGAGTTCAATCCTATCTTGCCTTCTGCTCCTTTAGGAATCAGGACCACTACAACAGACAGTATCAGATGCCATGCTGAAGAAGGAGCATCAAACTGGAAAATGCAATTCCCAGACCATTGTCCGACCCTGTTCCCTTCCAGTTTTGTCAGCCTACTTCTGAAACCCACTCTTCCTCATGTTCCAAATGCTGGAAAAAGCGTCTCCAAGTTCTCTTCTACATCAACATCTTAGATTCTCTAGCTCCCACCCTACTGTGCATGACTCCAGGGTCACCGTATTCCAGAAGATGGCATCTTCTGGCCCAGCATGTCTAGGTGAGGAGTCACATTTCCATGTACTCCTCTTGGCTGAGAGGAACCTTAGAGGCAGCCAAGGTCTCAGCAAATAGGGTTGGAGTGTCCTTGCCCTGGGCCCCAGGAGAAACCCGTGAGTGGAGGGTGTGCCCCCAGTCCCAGTCACTACCTTCCAGCCTCAAGGCTAGGTGCTCACTTGAGGGCCATGGTATCTGCCCAGCCTGAAGAGATTCTACTGACCCCAGGAAGAGACCAGGTGCCCTCTTCTGTCCCCACAGCTCGGGCCAGGCCTCCCTCCAGAAACTTAGTATGTGTACTCCTCAAAAACATGAAGTCTGACACATGCTGAGTCAAATCACTGCTGAACCAGTGAAGAGCTCGAGCAGCTGGGCTTAGGTGTGGCCACCTGAGAGAAAACTCAGCAAACTGTGGTTTCAATCTTAGTCTCGGCTATAAAACAAGAGGAAACTCTGCAAGCAGACAGTCTAGGGCTGGTAGGGTGACACCACCCTACCAGATTAAGGATGCGAATTCCACTCACCTTTTCACTAACTATATTATGATCCAAGACAACTGCTAGAGCTACAGCCACACCTGTGTTTCCAGTTATAAAATGAAGAACAGAGGGGTTCAGTTCTCCCTGTAAGCAAATTTCCTAGACTGCTCACCCACACTCCACTTTCCTCTGTCTCGCTGGCATAGTAGCATAGCTTTGCCTCTCTGCTAGACCGCTGTAGGGTGAAGGCTGATGACAACGGCTGGCTGCAAACCAGGGTTCTGATCACCACGGAGAAGGGAGCTGGTTACTAGGAAGTAACCACCGTTTCCAGCCCCGACGCCAGTGGGAAAAACACACCTGTGGGAGTGGAAAGAATGGATTCCCAAAGAAAGGGAGTGAATCAGACAGGAGGAGGATGGATAACTGACCAGCAGCAGTAGGGTCATGGTTTTCATCATAATAAAAAAAAATTGGTACTAGTTACCCTAGGGACAAGCACAAACATGGCTTATACTGTATAATATATGGAGCTAATTCAAGTCTCGTATGGCGCTACATTTTGATTCCAGCATGCTTTTTAAATGTTCTCTCTAGGAGTCTGAAGACTGTTAGGATAAGTCCTCAAGTATTCACGTATTCATGATATGGGTCTGTCTTCAAAATAGTCATTCTAAGAGGAGGCACAGACAGAGTACGTCGCCAGGTGCAGTAAGGTCCACCATCAGACAGCACACGGTGCCCCAGGGGCAAACAGGGCCAACTGACCAGGAGATTCAGAGCTTCATAAAAAAGGCGAAAACTGTACTGCTGTTTTGAGGGATGTATGAGTTTACCAGAGGGAAGAGGAGGGATTAGAGATACTAACCTCGAGTATTCAATCTAGAAAGCACGGCTGACCAGCAGGGAAGTTTGGTTGGTGTGATATGGGGTTAAACTTCACTGTGCCGTGGACTGAGCAGCTTTGCTCTGCCTCCATCTCTACCTCAGCGTCAGTCGACCTCGGGCTGAAGCCTCTGAAACCGGGAGGCAAATTAAACCTCTCCTCAAGCTGTGGGTGGGGGTCAGGTATTGTGGCTCAGCAATGGGAAAGCAGATAAAGAAAAATAAATGTACTCTGTGTAGAGCAGTATGAAATGGGAACTGTTCCTCTCTCTGTGCAGTAGTTAAGAGCCAGGTCAGTTGTGCCAAAGGCACTTCATCCCTTGCTAGGACACGGACAACGGTAGGAGGTGTAGAACGCACAGTGAAGATAAAGGTCTCACTCTTGTCCTTCTGATGGTTTCCCTGTAGGAACAGAGACTGAGGTCCTTGAATCTAATTGCCAACATGAGGAGCAAGAGACAGAGTGGAGGGCCCATAATCGCAGCTGTGGATCTGGAAACAGAGGCTCAGTTCTGGAGGCAATATTGCTGTATCACTCAGTTTTTCATCATTGTGACCAAATAGCTGTGAACAACCTAAGGAGGAAATAGCTATTGGGGCTCACGGTTTAGGGGTGTTGGTGTATGGCGCATTGCCATAGGAGGCCTGTGTTGGGGCAGAAACGTGGTGGAGGGGCATGGTGGAGGGAAGCCACTCACTTTAGAGCAGCCAGAAGCAGGGAGGGGGAAAGCTAGAGGGGAAGGGACCAGAGACAAGACTTGGTCCCCAGGGTTACACCTCCAGCCAGCACCCACATCCTTTAACCTGGCCCCACCTCCAAGTTTCTATCACCTCCTTCCAATGCCACCAAATTATGAATCTATCAATGGACTGATTAATCCACAGATAAAAAATAGAACCCTTGTGATCCAATCACCTTTTAAAAGCCCTACCGCTGAACACGGAAGGCTTTGGGGGATGTTTCAGATCTAAAACATAATGACTGCCATGGCTTCCCTCATCCCTGGGTGGTAGGTGGGACAGGATGTTCCTGGATCCATCTGTTGCTGCATCCGCTTCCTGTTCCCTGCTTCCTGACTGGGGCAGAGGGCTGCTTCCATGTTGTGGGGCTGGAAGTCATTGTGGAAGGCCCAGCCTGCTCCTCTAGCCATTCAGATTTTATGAGAGTCTCGTTTCCTTTCTGACTAAAAATAGAGATAGTGGTTTATGTTAGCTGCTACTATATCTCATCTGATAATGGAAAACAGATATTCAGAGACACTGAGATTTCCTCTCACTTCACTGCAGAGCTGAATGAGTGGCAAGGCTAGGACTAGAACCCGGTTCTTTCAACACTAAGTCTTTTCATTACATTTGTGCAGGGATGGAACTAGAGAATGACATTAAACCTAAACAATGAAGCTTAGCACCCCATATGACTCCCAAGTTTGCCCTCTCCTCTAGCATTCTTAACTAAGGAAGACACCCACAAGGAACAAATACCTAACAAAAATGAAATGTCCTTCTAAAAGCACAACAATCCCTAAGACTCCCATGAAGCAGGGCTTCTAAGCAAATCTGGGCCAGAGCTTGGACTCTGGGCCTCTCCTCCTCACATGCAAGTGGGAGGACCTAGATGGCAACCTCAGCCAAGCCAAGGGAGGGGCTGGCCCGGCTGGGCTCACAGTCTGAGTGGATTCTGATGGGATGGGACCCACAGGAGGGCTCCTCGCCACTGTGGGCCAAGGCCACGAGAGAATGAGGACAGGCTCCCAGATGTCCCAGGCGCTCAGCTTGTGCTCGTGGTGCTCCCAGAACACTGGGGTCCTGTCCCACGCAGACCACGGAGGCAGAGTGCAAGCAAAGGTATCTGAAAGATATAAGACAAGGAAGTAAAGCTCCCGCTAGCTGGGTGGGGTTCTGAGTAGGATATCCCAAGGGCTCTTGATCTAGGGGTTTTTAAGAGCTTTAGAAGTGAGTTTAGGTTGTTGTATAAGCAATATAATCTCCAATAGACTACTTATTTTTAGGGTCTAATCCATGCAGTGTTCACGCAGTGTCTATGCAGGGCCCGTGCGCCCAGTCACGCTCTGGGGAGGTCCCAGACAGCCACAAGTCCCCTGCAGATGTGCGTGTAAGGTCCCTGCAGGGTGTGGATGCAGCAAACTGTGCTCTGGGGCCGCTGTCCTCGGTGCCTCATAGAATCTCAACTCTTGTCTCAGTAACTCCCGTCACAGTGTCAGGGTAGAATTCTTTAAGGGAAGCAATGGTACAAAGGAGCAGCAGATAAATTCTTCACCCTCTCTGGCAGAGGTGAGAGAATGGGGAGAAGATACTGGGCATTCTCTTCCTGACAGAAAGCAGGCCTGATGGGGAACTTTAGGCCTTAGCGTCTAAGGTTTCTGGGCAACCACAAAGGTACCATGGAAGAATGGGGGAAAGAATGTAAAGGGAAAAGGGTTACCAGAAAGACGTCGAGCATTGATCAGACCTCTGCTTCCCCTTCAGAATGCAAGCCTGTAATCCCACTAGGGAGGCTGAGGCAGGAGGGTCGTAAGTGTGAGGCTAGCAAGGGTTACACATGTTGTGCTACATATCGAGACCCTGTCTCAAAACAACAACAACCACAAGAGAATCTTTCAGAACTCACAGGTCATATATCAGCTTCACTGTGAGGACACATGAACCCACGCTGGAGAGGACCTCGACTCCAGATTGATGGAGAATACAGAACTCTGCACCTCTGGCTGGGCTGGCGTCCCTCCACCCTCTTCCAAGGCGAAGCTTGTTAATAAGATGGCATTTGTTTTACTCTGGTGAGTTTATTTTATCACGGACTTCCTGGGAATGAGAAAAAACACATTGCAACTTCCCACAATAAAGTAAATATCGCAAGATAAATGGTGATGCCAGAATGGAAAGCACTTAGGGACCCGCACGGTCAGACGCAAACAGTCTCAAGACTATTAGCTGTTAGGGGTTGTGCCTTATGTCACCCGAAAGGGTTTCCCTAGATTTACAGTGTGATCTCATGGAAGATTTATGGCCATCTTGATTTTTTCCTCATTTTAAGTTTAGCCTGGAATTTTTCCTAGGTCCTTTGGGAACGAGAAGTTGCTGGTTTTTAAGAAATGCCCTGTGGCACATTCTCAGCAATTTGAGAATCCTTGACATGACACCGATGATGAGCACGTGACCACCCTGTGCCTCTGCGGACCGCCCTCCAGCCGGTCCAGGAAACGGAAAGGGCCTTGAGGTCCAAGTGGAAGCCAGGGCGCAGGCGCAGGAGGACAGAGTGGGGACGCAGGAGGTGGAGGGCTGGGTGCTCTGTCCTGGGCAGCCCCATGCTCCCAGGGCTCCCTGGCTCCACTCCAGGCACCAGCACTCCCTGTGACAGATTGCACCATCTGGTCACAAATGCTCATTTTCTCTCCCAAGGCAACATTCACCCCTTCGATTTGGGACTTGGACCCTTGACTTGCTTTGGTTCATGGAAGGAACCAGATGTGGCATCTGTCTCCGGAGCAGAAGGGTTTTTGGTCAGTTTGTTTGGTGACAGTGTCACTGCGAAGTTCAGCTGGCTTTGAATTCGTGGCGATCCTCCTGCCTCAGCCTCCCCTGGTGCTGGGATGACCGGTGTGCACCACCGCGCCCAGCAGCGTTTGTCTTTGTAATTTAGGGCTGAACAGGAAAGCAGGCTGTGTTCTGACCTCGCCCCCTGCACCCTTCTTTCTCCTGGTGAGCGGGTGGAGACCAGCCGCAGACACACGGGGCGGAGAGGAGTCTTTGCCCGGGCTGGATCCGGGGCTCCGCAGGACCCCAGCCCTCCTCTGCCCCCAAGTTCTCATGGCCGTCCCGGCTCCTGGGGGCCACAGGACCCCAGCACCCGACAACCCCTCACCTCCCTCCTCCCGCCCGGCTTGGCTCTCCCTCCCTGCATCTGAGATTTTCACAGCCAGCGGCTCAGGGCAGGGAGCCCGAAGCGTCTGGGTGTGGGGTACGCGGGCCCTGGCGGGCAAAGCCCTGACATCAGCGAGCCCCTTGTGCACCTTCTCTGTCCCCAGAGCCTGAGGCCCCCCGGGACCCCCAGAGCCCTGCAGGAAGGGCGGCACCTTCACAGTCCCCATGGTAGCCGGGCTCACGAAGGACGCGGTGAGCACTTCTGAGCCCGGCCGGCCCTCGCCAGGGGCCCGCGAACACCAGGCTTTCCCGACCCCTGCAAATCCCCAGGACATCGGCCTGCCCCCCCCCCATGCCAGACCAATGGCTGCCAGTCACTGCGGCCCGGCGCTTGCCGGTCGTGGGGGAAACTCCACGAAAAGTCTTCGGTGCTCAAAACACAGAATTGTTCTGAAGTGCTTATACTACAGCAGCAGTCAGGAAAATGCGATGAAAAATTCTAGGCCCTTTCACGTCAGGAGTTTATAGTCAGAGGGGCAGAACACAAACATGCAGCGTCACCCGTGAGTCAAGCTGAGGGTCCTGGAATTGGGGGGCGACAGGTAATGCTTATCCTCCAACAGGACCTCAACAAATATTTAAACGCATTTCTTAATTCTAAAAATGATCGCTACATGGAGCCAACACAGCAGCACCTTCCTACCTCAGGACATTTGTACCTGCGTTTCCTGTCTGGAGCACTCTTCCCCAGACACCCTGCGTGAATGTCTTGCTGCTTGGCAAGAAATGACCACCTCAGGGGCTTCGAACAGCACGAACACATTCCCTTCAGTCCCAGAGGTCTGAAATCCAAACTCAAGGGAAGAAAGGGGACCAGGAGGCGCACGGACATGTATGTACCCAGCCCCACGATGGGCATATTCATTGCACATCACAAACATATACTCTCAAAGGTTTTCAATAAATCAAATCAGATCAAAGTGCTGGCCCAGCGGTGTTCCTTCCGAAATCTCCAGAGGAGAGTCCTTTTCCTCCTTTCCCCGCGGCTGGAGGCGCCCACTCTCGCTGCTGCTCCTGTCTCTCCAGCTCCTGCTGCTGACCCGACCTCCTGGCACCCGTCTACGTCCCACTCCTGGGGTGCCACGGAGCACCACGGCAATCCAGCGTGACCTCTCCGTCTCACCCCAGTGCCACCTGCGGTGCTGATGGGCTCTGGGATTCCGGGCACACTGGAGAGGTCATTACGCCCAGCCCTCGTGGTAACCCTCGCGGCGGCTGCCCTTGACCCTGAGGCCAATCTAGCACACGATGCGCAGGTCTGCTCTTCCTTACCCGCTCTTATTTTCTCCATTTTATTTATTTCCATCAAATAAAAATGCTGTGTGGGGCCGGGGATTTAGCTCAGTGGTTCCGCTGCCTGCCTTACAAGCTCAAAGACCCGAGTTCGATCTCCGGTACAAAAAAGAAAAAAATGCTGTGCGTTTGCTCCTTTATCCTCCATAGCCTCCCGTCCTCCACTAGAGGATGAGTCCCTTGCAGCGGGTGCTGGGTCATTCATCATCAGAGCCTACAACAGTGCCTGGCACTTAGTAGGTGCTCAATAAACCTCTTAAATAAAGGAAAACCTCCAACCCATGGACAAGACGGCACTGAAGGGGAGAACGCAGCCGGTCAAGGGACGGCCAAAGCGAGGGCCCTGGGGCCGCCTGTGCTGCCCACTGCGGTGCCTGCGCAGCACCCGGCGCCCCCTTCTAGCAGAACCCCGCTTCCGAGCCCGGCCGCTCCGTGCAGATGGCAGGGCCCCAGGAGAAGGCGTCCCAGTCCCGTAACTCAGCGCTGGAGCCCTGACCCCGGGGGTGGGGGGATTAGACATGAGGCTTTGGAGGGGGCGGTGAAGGGTAAACCAAGTCACGGGGCGGGGCTAAAGCTGATAGGACTGTGTGCTTAAGAGAAGCGGAAAGACGCCATTGAGCCAGATCGGAAGAGCGTCGCACACACGCTGCGCTGCAGAACGGTTTTCCGAGCTTCTGTTTTCCACGCGGGTGTCCTAGTGCCGTGCAGACGCAGCCCGAGACCATTTCCCAGAGCGACGGCTGCTGGGCGAGGGGACACCCAGACGGCAGGAGGCCGAGGACGGACGGCAGCGCCGCTCGGGCCCTGACTGTGCCCAAGCCGGACTCACACTGTGGGGAAAGGGGAAAGGGGAAAGCCCCACCCACCCGCACCCCACTCCTGCCCCCTGAAAGCTCCGAACAGGGCGCTGAGAAAACAAACCAGGGACGCCGGCAGCGCTTGAAGGCGACACGCGGCCCAGGCCAACGCCGCCGGGGGCTGCATCGAGGCTGGGCCTCACGCTGGCAGTCACGCAGCGAGGGGCGCCGCTTCTGCGGGGTTATTCTTCGCAGAGCTGGTCTTTCCGTTGCTTGTTTTTTCCTCTTTTTCTTCATCCCCTCCCCGCTGATGCTTCCTACCATTTCCCTGCCGGCCGACCTCTGTCAGCGGGCGCCAGGGCTGCACACCGAGACAACACACTTGCCGATGACCTCGAGAAGCCGAAGGAGGGCGGGGTGGGCGGGGGACCAGGTCTCGTCCAGCCGGAGCCCTTCCTCGGGTGCACAGCGGTAAGCCGAGTCCAGCGCCTGTCTCTCAGCCCCATCTCCTCTGCCTTCCACAGGGACGCGCCTGACCTGCCCGAGGAGACGGCTGAGGTGGTGCACGTCGCTGACACACGCACAGTCGGAGAAGACCAGCCCCCACGGTGGCGCTGGGACTAAATGCAGGCAGACGACGTCCCGGGAGCCCGGGCGTCCTCCAGCAGCCCCGGCGGTGGGCATCCTTCATTACCCTGGCCACGGGGTCTGGCTGGAGCAGGCAGGTGAAACAAAGCCGGCTTGAAGGACCCAGGCCCGTTTGACAAAGTAGCTGAGGTCTCTTATTGTTTAAGAGAAGGCATGGAAGCCAGGCCTGGTGGCCCCCGCCTGTAATCCCAACACTCAGGAGGCTGGGGCAGGAGGATCTCCATGAGTTCGAGGTCAGCCTGGGCTACATAGTGAGTTGGAGGCCAGCCTGAACCAAGACCCTGCCTCAGAGAGAGAGAAGGAGAGGGAAACTGAGCGGACTCCGTCCCCCAGCCCCTGTCACTCAACACTGACCTGGCTCCTCCGTGTCGCTGGTGCACAGTGACTTCGACGCCTGCTCTGTGGCCTGCCCGAGCCGCCACACTGAGACCCCGGCCGGCCGGCAGCTGGGAGGCAGCTCGAGCTGCGGAGACTCTGGTCCATTTCCGAATGTGATGGCGCCATACCGATTCCTCGAGATTCACTCTCAGGAAGTTTCATCTTAAATTCTTATTTCATTGTTCAGATATTTACTTTCTACTTTATTATTTTTTATAATTAGTACATGCTTAAACTATAAATATATTCACCGTGGGGAACTGGTACATGTAGCCATTGCATCTTGATCTTTTTTGCTTTTTGCTTTTGTGATACAGTGGGGAAAACTGGGCCCCTCTTGGACTCCTGGACTACGAGAGCTCTCCAAGTGCAGACTGGAAGCGCGGACCCATGGCTCCGGGAAGGGAGTCTCGAGGCGGCGAGTCGCGCGCCCCCTGGTGGCTGCGCCTCCCGGACCCGCCTGGTCCCGCTGGTCTCTCGGGGTGAGCAGAAGCCGTTTGAGTCAGTGGATTGGTGGAGAAAGCGTCACCCACGGGGCCCGCAGGTCCCAGCGTCCTGCGGGGAGCCTATCAAATCTGACTTCTGTGATGGTTCAGGTGTCACAGGGTCTCTTACGGGATTTGCCGGGAAGGAGTGGGGGTTCTTTTGTCTTCTGGAAAAAAATCCACAACCAGTGAACCCCCCCGAGGGAGGAGCGAGAAGAGAGGACCCTCCGTGAAGCCCTGGAATTTCCACGGCAGTCTGGGGGCGGCAGCTCTGCTTGCCCTGCTCCCGTTCTCCTGCCACGCACCGGTGTGGCCTCTCCCTGCCGCCAGGACGCGACCTCCTGGGCTCCCCCTGTGGCCCCGACCCCCACTGCACACTTGGGGCTGACTGATTGCTTAACACGTGGCTCCCCTTCCGTACTGGCAGTCCAGGAAGACACGTGACAGCCTCAAAAATGTGCCGCCTTCAGCCAGGCGCAATGGCGCACGCCTGTAAGCACAGCACTCGGGAGGCTGGGGCAGGAGATCATCACAAGTTCAAGGCCAGCCTGGGCTACACAGAAAGAACTGGCCTCAGAAATACAGTGAAGTACTGCTCCGGTGTCCTGCTGCAGGGAGAGTGGGTGACCAGCTGGCCCCGCGTGCAGGGCTCCGAATCCATCCCGCCTTGTCCCAGCCACTGGTCACAGGGCTCCGAAGGGCTGCTCAGCTCCGAGGCTCGCTTTGTGCCTGGCCCAGGCGCTCTCCGGACTGGCTGCAGAGACCACATCCTTCCCGGGGCTCCTTCCCACCCTCTCCTTCACGTGGGTGGCTGGCCTTGCGTGGGGCTTGCAGCCTCTGCACCCACTCTGGGACCCTCCATGTCTCCCAGAGGACCCAAAGATTCTGGGACGTGTGCAAAATGGACAAATGCAGATGTGCTGAGGACTACAGGAGGAGTGATGAACCAGAACAACAGAGCAAGTGATTTGGCCTCCGGATACCCTCCAAGTGCATGTCCTAGGGAAGCCCCGATGCCCTTTCTTCAGAGCCTTTGTATTTTTGTTTTGTTTTGAGACAGAGTCTCGCTATGTAGCCCAGGCTGGCCTCAAATTCATGGCAATCCTCCTGCCTCAGCCTCCTGAGTGCTGGGATGACAGGTAGGTGCCCGCACACCCCACACACCTTCTGGTGAATATTAAACTTGTCTAGTTCCCCAATAACTTCCTTAGAACCACTGCTTATCGCAAGTGGGTCAAGAAAGTCTGATGCAGCCTCACTTTGGCCAGTGTCAAGATGGGGCAGATGACAAAACCAGAGAGCTCTTTGTTGTTGTTGTTGGATTCCAAGCTACAAAATGATGCCGTAGTATTAAATAAGCTCATTCGAACTGTTCCTGACCCTCCCGCCCCTCCACATTTAGAGACTGCGACATGCCCTCGCTGGTGACAAGCCCGACCACAGGCTGGGGGGGGCTGTGCCAAATGACCCCAGCTGCTGCCGAGACAGGACCCTGGTGCTGCAAGGGACAGAAACCACCAGCCCTGCGGGAAGAAACCCCGCTTCCCCTAGGCACCTCGTCCATCTGACAGCTCTGTCTCCTCCGGCTCCCGGCTCGCTCCGGGGATGTCAAATGCCTGAGTCCAGAGCAGCATCTGGTTTCCCGCTTGGAGCCTCTGGCTCGTGAGTGAGGGCCGCTCCCCAGGACCACTGGGCCCGCGGACCCTTGTGAAGTTTAATTGGAAGCGTGGGTCTGCACAGTCTCAGCAGCCCCCAGGGGAAGCCTCTCCCGCAGAGGGTGACCTTGGTCCCGAGCCGAGCACCCCAGTAGTGCTGGCCTGACTCCTACGTCCAGCATCCAGCCAATCCCACAATCATTCCAGTACCTCAGTTTCCCCAACCATAAAACTCAGCTGTGGGACTTGGGAGTCTTAATGAGCATGGGACTTTCCTGGATAAATTAACCAGGTGCCGGAAACATCTGTGGCCAGCTTGGAATCTGCTGTATAAACAGGAGAGAGTAAGGGTTCCGAGACAGGACTGCAGCAAAAGCTCACACCCCAGCCTGACTGCATGCTGAGCTCCTCACCTCTCTCTGTGCACCTTGGGAGTGAGCCTCTCCTCTGCTCAAGGTTGGGAGCAAAGGACTCGCCTTTTCTGGGCTCCACACTAATCAGACAAAAGGCTTTCTCCAAAAAGAAGCATCCCCAGAAGAACGTACACTCCACACAGACGAGGACAAACAAAATCTGTCTTATTCCCCACCTCAACCCGAAAGTCTGCACGAGACCCCTTCATGCTAGGAAGGAACTGAACAAATAAATGAACAAGCAATCACCCTTGGAAGATACTACCTTACTGTGTAAAGTTGACACAGGATTTCAGACTGATTTGATTGTATCTCCATGTTCTGGTTTAAGACTTTATTAGGGCAGAAAGTACTAAGCCCTAAGTACGAAGGTAGCCCCAGAAAATACTAAGGTAGAGCAGTTAAACCTCAAAGGAGTCAGCTTGACGCAGTCCGCGGAAGACGTGCAACCAAGACCTGGGTCTCCAAAAACCTGGCCCAACCTTCCGTTTACAACACACTGCCTCCTTTTGTCTACAGTTAGGGCCAGAAAACCACAGCCCAGGGGCCAAATCCAGACCAACTTCTGATTTTGTAAATAAAGTTTTATTGGAACACAGCCACTCACAGCTGTGGTGGTCTTCCCGTTTCTACAGCAGAAGGTGAATAGTTCTATAGAGAACATGGGGTCCACAAAGCCTAGATATTTACTACCGGGTCACTTACCAGAAAACGCTGGCTGAGCCTTGCTCTACAGCTTCCTTCTCCCTTGCATGCTACGTATGTCCTGGGATCTACTGCTAGAAGCAAGGGTTCTGTGGGTAATCTGCTTGGGTCACAGAGCCTACAGTCAGCTGCCACTTTACAGACTCTTGCTATGGTGAATCCAAACAGCTTTGCCCGTATCGCCTTATTTAATTCTCCAGGCAGTCCTACGAGGTGTGCATTATTGCCTGTATATATATAAAATGTCATAATAGAATTGGCCTGAATCGTAGGAAATTGTCTTTTTTTTTTTTTGGTAGATTGAATACTGGCAATTTCATGTAAATCTAGCAAATGCCATTAGCTCCACTTTAAAGAAAGGGAGCCAAGGAGAAAGCAAGACTAATTGTCTCTTTAGCTCATAGTCAAAAAGGGAAAGTGCTTAAATACTAACTAGCTCCGTGCCTAAGGCGGCTGCTTGGTATATAGCTGCTTAAAACATTACAATTCCCTTTGTGTATTAAAAGCTTTGCTAATTTCAAAAAAGTTTGATACTATTTAAGCAGGCCTTCCCCAAAATTTACTTGACCAAAAAAGCCCCCCCACCAAGTAGCACCTATGAATATTCTATGCAAATAGTATTCCTTGGAATACACAGGTGTCTATTCCCTCCATTACCATCAAACAGCAGCAGCATTTTGTAGGCACTGCAGTCACACTTCAGGCCGCAGACTCCTCTGCCTCCCCAGAATGCCCACCACGTCTCCGGGCACACTCAATTTGAGACTCCCTGCACCTTGCTCCACCGCCAAATGAAACTCCATTTTCACTAAAATAACCTGAATAGTACATGCTCTTGCTGCGGGCTAATTCCGTTTACAGGAATAATGAAGCTCCATCCTTGTGTGGCTGTGGATGTTTATTTCATACATTTTAACTTCGCTGTATCTCCCATTTGTGATGCAAATAAACTGCATCTTCCATCAAAACTGCTCATTCTGCCTCTAAATTCTTTGGATTTATGTGCTAGATCAGTTACTAGCTTTTATGCAAAAATAGTACCTAAAATCTGAGGTTATCTTCTATCTGGGTCAATTAAGCAGCACATATTCAGCTGGGTTTTTTTGTTTTCCTACTTTTTAAAAGAGAGAATAAACGCTTGTCTACGTAAAGTTTACAGCCCGAGCCCCACTTTTATATATTTTCTTTAGAAATAAGTCCAGAATTTGTCAAAGCATCCTTCCCTGCCCCCTCTGAAAATATTAGCTTGATAGGGAGGTTAGAAATCCATCATAACGAGTGGCAGACATCTGTGCACAAAAATAGTAAGTCTCAAGTTTAATATTTTATTGCCATATTTTGAAACAACTGGCTAGGCAGCTGCTACTGTTATCGTCAAATTACTTCTCATTTTTTCCAGAGTTTTAAATGCAAGCTGTAACAAATTAAATCTAAATTTCTATACGCTCTTTTCAAAAAAAAACAAAAACAAAAAACTTTTAGAAAGCACAGCAAAAAAAAAAAAGTCAAGTTGATTTGGAAAGAAAGGGATATCAGCAGAAAAAAAGGAAAAATGAAAACTCTTTTCCCAAAGCCTCCAAGATTTGTCTCAGTCGCCTTAGGGTACATAGATTTGCTGTTTCCGGAGTGGCCCAAGCACTCTCCCTTCTGAACAGGCGCTGAGTGTGGACGGAGACCGCACAGTTTGGTAAAAATGCACCTTTCCCTGCAGTTTTACAAAGATGCTCAAGAAGGAACCCCTTCACCAAATGAGCAAATCCTGCATGCTCCGTTTAACACCCTATTGATGGTGCTCAAATATACACACCGTCTCTCAAAGGACTCAATAGGCAAGTGGGGGAATCTCGGATCAAACCAAACTGCACATGGCTCTGGGGAAATATCAAGGCGGACAACACCGTGATTACTGCCTGCCAACATCAGCGTGCTTCTCATCATGAAATGCGGGCTTGTGTTTAGAAATTACGTTTTTGCTAGAGGAAATAAACAGCACATATTCTAATCTTTCGTTTTCATTTTCATCTGACTCCTCAACTCAACCGTGGGGGACCCGAGGGCGAGCAGAGGAAGCAGATTGCCACAGCTGCTTTCCCTGCCACTGCCGTGATTCAGCAGATTTCAAAACAGAACTCCGGGCGCTGAGACCTTCGCAGTGCAGTCTTCCTTTTGGGCCTGGTTTGTACCCTGCCGCATTTGGGGCAGTCAGGTCTACAAACCTGCTGCTGTCTCGGATGTGGCACAAGGCTTCCCGGATCCTTCCAAACTTTTGCCTTCCTCCTGCCCCCAGGTCTGACCTAACTATTCTCTTAACCTTAGATGGGTAGTTACTCTTCAATGATTTATTGCATTAAGTCTTCCCAGTAGTATTTGGGAATTAAAAAAGAAGACTTCCAGGACTCAGTCTTATTTCAACACTTGATCTTAGCCAAAAGGCCGAAAAGAGATAACTCAGTCTTATTTCAGACTTGATTTTCTTAAAAACTCCCCAGCCAATTTAGCCAGATTCCAGAACCACGGTCACAGGGCAAACTAGCAAACAGCAGAATGACCTGGGGTGCTGCGAAAACACAGGGCTGGGGAGGCTCCTTCTTCTAAGCTTCTGACTCCCCAAGTCTGGGTTGAGGCCCCCCGGGGTTACTCAGGCCCTGACGGTCCTGAAGGACGCCTCTTTCATCCCCAGAGCTGAGCACAGTGTCTTGCGCGCGTTTGCTGAATGAACTCCACAAAGTGCTCTCAGAGCGATGCCCACCAGCGGGAAAGCTGCGATGATCACCGAGTGGAAAGGGTAAGTTCGTAATTCCCCTTGCAGCGCACCTCGCGCTCTATTTGCAAAGCTGACCCCCCCCCCCACTTGCCAAATTACTGGTGCGAGATTCAGAAGCACCGGACGGAGTGGCCAGCAACGCTCCATTCTGTTTAAGAAGTGCTGTTCCAATTGTGTGGCTGGGTGGCGGGCCAGGTGGTGGGCCCGGGGCTTTTCTTCTTCAAGGTCATGAGAGGCAAGCATCTTCCACCTAAGAGCTTCAGGAAAAGATCGTCTTTTGTCTTGTTTGCTTGAAATCGGGAGCCATGATTTACTAGAACACTAAGTATATTCAGAATTCATGAGGGTCCGGGTCACCAGGTACTGTGACCCTGGCAGAGCCCCCTGCCAGTCCGCTGATACAAGATGGAGATCGGTGACGCGCCTGGTCGGGACCTCATCAGAACACACAAGGAACACCTCCGCTTTCTCCCTCTCCTACCCCAGATGATTTCTGAAGTTTTGTACATTTGTGAGTTCACAGAAGCATGAACAGAAAGGCAGGAACAATCACAAATGCAAATGTCATTGTTCCTAACAAACACCCATTTCCGTTCTCCAGGTGGGAGGAGACTGGACCCCCGCAGCATGTATACTGCAAGATGACCTAAGCGGAGGTGACTTAGTTTTCCAAGGTGCTTAAATTTTGTCAGAAGCAGCTCTCTGTCTCTGTCTTTCTTTTTCCATTGCTGATTTGTACTTTAACAAAACTGACATCTGCATCTCTTAGGAAATACTTCACTGTCAAAAGAATGTAGCTTAATTTTGTTTGCTTGAAATGTTTTCATCTCAGTCCAAATTTAGAACACCCTGCCACCTGTTTACAACACCGATCTCCAGCACGAAGCCAAAGCTCACCTCTTCCATCCACTTCCCAGCTGCACCAGTCAAGGTGACAGGGAGACACAAGTGGTCTTTAATTAGCTCCTCACCTCCTTGTTCCGAGTGTGCCCTGTGCACTCCAAACGCGGCACACCCTAGCCCCTGGGAGCAACAGAGAGCATTGTGCAGACAGAACAGCTTGGTCACACAAGGCACTGCCCACCCGGAGATGCTGAGGCAGAGAGCAACACAGGGGAAAGAGTGAAGGATCTCTCAGCTATTTGGGAAACCATAATTAGAGCTCTCTGTACCTGTCTCTAGTCTGTGAGCAGGGATGTTAGTGGGGGCAGAGACCTGGCCAGGTCTCCTGCTGTAAAATGCTATTTACAGATTTGCAAAAAGACTTTCTTTCACTCTTCTTCTGCCTCCCAAGGCTGCACATTCTCCTATCAGTTGAGGATTAACAGCAAACATGCCTTGGCTCATACAGGAGTTGAATTTGTTTTTTGTTTTGAGGTTAAACGCAACAGAAACCAACTCAACGTTGCTGAAAAGAAAGGGGCCGTGCTATTAAGAAAACGCAACAGCATTTTTGTGTGACCCAAAGGCATGTGTCTAAACAGGTTTTAGAAAGGGACAGCAAACTGAAAACCCAGTATCTGGAGCCCTGAAAGCATCTTTTGGTCTTGCTCCTGCTGTTTCTTCCCCTCAGCTCTTCTCTCTGCTACTCAGCTCTGAATTACAAAACCATCAAGTTGAGCTTAGATCACCTTATGCAAGAAATGAACCTAGATGGACACTAGAATCCCTTAGGCTCAATTCTTATCAGAAAAGGGTCACTGACTGGGCCAGGCATCCCCTGCTATTATATACAGGTGCCTTGGGAGCTCACCATTGGGGTCCTAGGAATTTGGGGGGGTGCTTAGGGGTGAGACAGTTCCCAGAAACTGGTGCAGGAGGGGAGAAAGCAGTTCCCCAGAGAAGTGAAGATGCCACACCCGTGGGAAGATACATGGAAACAACAATGATTTTCCTAGCTGTGGGGAGGAGGGGAGCATACCACATACTAATCAGAGTACACAGACACAGGGATCCAAGACCGCAGTGAGCACCGGTCCTGGCGCCGCTAACAAGGGCAAGTTAACCTTAGTTAGTACAGCCCGTGTGATGCACGCTCAGTGCCCAGTCCACTGGCTCCCTAACACATTTGTACTTCCTCATTCCAAATGAGAAAGCGTATGAGCGGGTACTTTGTGAACTGTAAAATAATATATTAATGGAGACTGCTCTTAAAAGTTGTTTCAAATACATTGTAATTTGTCTATTCCCTTTCTTTTCCAAGTACCTGAGTCTTCTGCTCCCTTAATAGGGGGCCCCTTCAACATCTATGGAATACCAGAGACTACAAAGCCCAAACAAAATCTCCCAGCTATTAGATCAGATATTTTACGTAGGCGGCACATGCATTTTGTATTTCTTTGGCCCACTGCCTCCTAAGAGTGCATTTCTGTTATAGTACAGTGGGCTGGAAGTGGAAATTATCAGCTGCAATTCCTCTCTATCTCATTAGAGGTCTAGTTTCCCCTTAATGCACATGAAGACCTTTCATTAGCAATAATGGTAGCTGCATGCATCAAGGAGAAAAACAGACCCTCACCATCATGGTCCAGATGAGGTTACTGGGACACTTGCCTGCTTGACTGGAGAATTATGACATTCAGAGATGATTAGATCAGGGAACAAATTAAAATCCTTGTGACTATTTCAAATGTTAAAATGGAATTTTAAAACCTCAAAATGAAGAAGGGCAAAAAATCAAAACCAAAGAATCATAGGCAGATTTAAATTAGGAATGAGTTAAACAAGTAAAAGCCAAATGACAAGATAAACAAAGGTGGGAAGATTACCCAAGGGATTTGACAAAATAAGAACTGTTTCCAGTATATACAAAGACAGACCTGGCAAGAGAGACTAGAGCCCAAGGGAGGGTGAGGCTCGTTACCGCCAGGGATGGTAAACACTGCCCAAAGTTACACAGATCCTTTGCTCCAAGTCCACAAAGGAAGATGGAAGACGCCAGAAATGGCTCTGTCCTGCAGAAGCGTCAGGGAAAAATATTACTAAAGGAAACAAAAGCCACACCTGCATCCGTATTCTGAGGCTGACGTAAGTGAAGCAATAAGAACATTTTCCTCCTGCAATTAACCACATAAGGTCATTTGGAAATGGACCACCCTGCATTATTAAAGGTCAGATGAAGAAGTAGTAGCATCTTTCACTCCTGTTCAAATGTAAAAACACTAATCTTTGACTTAAAAGGGAAACATCATCTTTACAGGATACCAGATTTTCCTTTTTTTTTAATGGAGGGTGGAGAATGCGCAGGGAAAGCAGCCAAGTATGTATCTGAAACCTACATAAAAAGATTTCCAGCAAAATCTAGAATACGCGTGAGCTCAGCATTTTCTCCCCTATCCCCTTAACTAAGGATGGTTCCAGGGAATTCTTCTATCAGTAAGACTCTGATTCATTCTTTGCCAGACTGCTGGTCACTAATTCAATGAAAAGACTGAACATAAGATGACTAGCTTGTAAGAAAATGCAATTGACTTCAACATCTAATCCCATGGAATCAAATCGTGATTCTAACTAACTGATCCCACTGCATCAAAGTGAGGGTTTAAGAACCTCTGAGAATGAGGAGGATGCAGGCACTCCAGGAAAGAAATCCTTCCATTAAACTCTTTTGCAATGGCCCAAACTCCAGCTGACCATTCCTGTACCCACAGACTGCAGCCCCAAAATTATCACTGTGGCTTCAGTATGGCCATCCGGATTCTGCCAGTAATTGTTGAGCCAAATAGGCTTAAGGTGCATGATAGGGAGTGTGCACTTCTGTAAAAAAAAAAAAGGTTCAAGGCAATGGGTCTTAGGCCACAGCACTGTGTGTCAATGAAGTTATTTCCCAGCAGCTTTGGCCCCTCTCTCCACTCGGTGTTGAGTAATTTGGAGATCAACCTGTTTCTATCTATCCCGGTGTTCAGAGGCTGACAGGAGAATCACCACCCAGTAACTGGGTCTAACTCCTACAGTGCCGCACTGTGGGACACCATCCTCACGGGGCGGGGGGGGCATTTTCCCCGACTTCACAATGCTAGACCCAGCTCTCCAGCCAGCCCTTCTTCCAGCCCTCACCCTTCCCCACACCCCTCTGTGAGGACTCTGTTGGGAAGGCCTGAAGCACGCTCCAGGGTACTCCACGCCACCTCTCCTTGTTAGTAAGCTGAGGAACAGGATGTGTGTCCTTTTGTCTTTCTGACATGGTAAGTAGTGGGTCACTCAGCTAAATGAAAATGATGAAAATTACAGAACTGTCACAAAAAAGATGCCCAGGAAGAACAGAAAGAAAATAAAAACCTGACAAATGGTACATTACATAACTTAGTTGAGAAAAGTTTACTGTAAAAATAGGATTTACAACTAAAATTTTAAAAAATTCAGTTCTGGCCACACTCCGTCCCATTGAGGGACTTGCCCTCGATTCCCAGGACGCTCAGGCGGCGCTCCTGACCCACAGTCCCTCCTTCTGCCTTTCCTTTGCAGCTGTCAAGATCTTGGAAGCTTTGAAGCTCAGCAAAGAAGGGAAATCCATTGAGAACAGTCCACTGAGAAGATAATGCCATCTTGACAGATTGTGAGTGGCAGAAAGAAGTGTTTTCTGCAGGATGCAATTGCAGATATTGCAAGAAAAAGCAAAAATAGCAGTATCAAAAAGCTCTGAATGGGTGAACCTTCCAGGCTGCTGTACCACTACCCCCAGTGCCTAGGAGCAGAGGTGCCCCAGCACAGAGGAGGTGAACCTTCGAGGGCACCATACCAACACCCCCAGCACCAAGGAGGTACCACGTGGGTACTAGAAGCACACACACCCCCACACACCACTGAAATGAGAAGACACTTAAACAAGTCTCAAAACCAGATTCCCAGATCACCTAAAGCAAAGGGAAACAAGATGGAATAATCTGATAATCAACCACCTGGGTTCCCTGAACTAGCAAAGAAAGAGGATCTGGAAAAAGTGAAATCAGAAATAATTTCTCAGATAACAGCAGAGATTGTGCCCATAGTGCAAGACATGATTAATAAATCTA